ATTATTGAATTTATTCTGTTATATTGACATAATTTAAAATATTACATTATTTCTTCACATTTCATGGTTTTGTTTTCTTGAACATATCATTACCATATCGATCATCACTCGTTGAAACGAAACACCGAGACAAATGAATCAAAAACAAAAACGAATGAAACAGAAAATTCAATTCAATTCGAATATTTATTTGGCTTCCGTATCTTTTTTTTTGTATTTAAACCGAACTATTTTTCTACTATTTTAATTTAAAAAGAAAAAGATTAATTTCGAATTTTCATCAATCAACAAATAAAATGGTTTCGGTATTTTAAAAAAAATAAAAATCTATACGATATTTCAATCGATATAAAATATTCAACAATAAAATTTCATTGTTACTCCAATAGATCCACAATTTAAAATCACATTCAAATATTATCTTTCTTCACAAATGTTTCACTCACTAGTTTCATACATGCATAAACAAATAATGAAATATTCATAGAAACAATTATAGAAATTTAAAATTTTGTTCACAATTGAAAACTCAATTCGACCAATTCGCCAATAAAACCTTATTATTTTTCAACAGAATATTATACGTATATATAAATTCAAGAAATAAAACAAAAGAAAAGGGAAATGGTGGTAAGGTTAAGGTACCTGCTGAATTTCAACCGAGGCGTTAATGCCCGCATTGTTTTCCTCCCTCTTCACGAGCTGTTCTTTTCTCTCCACAATTCAGACATCGAGATCAAGTTATTTCACCGGGGAACAATCAAACAAACTCTTTGTACCACGAAGACACTTGGCGCGGTTTTGCAAGGAGCGTGGTCGGACGTTTCCAAAGGCTTCCGCAATAAAATTCACAATTCACGCTGTTGATATGCATGTCGCTGTAAAACAGTCCCCCCCTTCTTTCCCTTCCCTCCGCCACTCTTCCTCTAATTTTCTTCGCCGTATTATAAGGAAGCGGAAAAGTCTTCGGTATTTGCGCGAGGAGTTTTTTTCCTTTCCCTTTTTTTTATTTCTCCAGAAGAAACAGGGGAGAGAAAAGTCTGATTTTCTTCCTCGTTTCTCGGTCTCTCCCCCGCGGAAGCTTTGAATAATTTAGATCAGTGGCTCTCAATCTTTTCACAAATGTGTAGAATTAAAAGAAAAAAAAAAAGAAAAAAAGATATTAAATTTTATATCCATAGAATTGGATATAAAATACTACCGATTTAATTAAAATTTAGAATCGCTAATTACTCGTTTCTGAGAGGTTACCTATAAATTATTTAAAATTGAAGAAACATTTGGATCTTATCGTCAAGTTCAAGGCCGTAACCAATCTTATCTTAGCAAATCAATAACTTCCAATAATATATCGTCATCATCAATAAATTTATCGTCATCAAACAAAAATATAGCCTCGTATCGTTCATTTTATCAAGCTCTCATTCCCCTTTTATCAATTTTATCTTTACCTTTATCTCGCGTCCTCACGAATTCCTTTTCTCAATTTGTAAAACATTTTTACCCCTCCCTTCCTCCAAGATAAAAAATAAAAAAAGAGTAAAACACGATCATCTCGTCATTGTACCTCGCAGTCGTTAAACTCGTTCCCCCGTTCCTTTCAACTTTTCCCCGGATTTCGACAAGAATTCGCATTACTCCATCATGCATCCAGAACCGGATAATGCACGTCTCATTCAAGGAACACACAACGAAGCGTAAAATTCGATACGGCGCAGTATCCACGAGTTTCCACCCCCGCGAAAACTATCGTCGAGCGTTGTAATATCAGAATTTCTTTTCGCAGAGACTGGAGGCATCTCCACGAGAGAAAGAGAGAGAAAGTGGGGGGGAGGGGGAGGGAGGGAAGGGAGAGAGAATCTCTTGTCAATATTGGCCTGCGTTACGAAATAATGCTAGAGTTTCCTTTGTTGGAGATGAAAGCTTCATAGCTGGACAAAAGGGAACGAAACGCGTGTCCCAGGCACCGGCATTCTTTCTCCCTCTTTGCTTGTTTTCACGTCGTTGAGTTATACGTTTGGATTTGCAGACCGTATTGTGAAAAATCAAACGTGGTTGATTAAATTTTTAACGTAACGCGCTCGTTGTACAATATTTCGAGAAACGAAACATATAAAATACATATTTATATCGTTATAAGCATAATTGCAAATTTTGATAAAGACGAGTGAAGAATTAATATTATAATATTATTATTACTTCGTTACTGAAAACTTTGCAAAATGTTTAATAATACATTACAAAAATTTATATATATATATATATATATATTCAAAAATTAAATACTTTTATAAATAGTGAGAAATCTCCTTATTAAATCGAATTTTTCGGAAGAAAATTTTCTATTCCTGGATGGATCTTTCAATCACACACTCTAAAGATAACGGAAAGCGTTCATCCCCTTAAAAATGCACTTTATTTCAAATCGATATCTCACCTGGTTGCCGAGATACAGGGCTTCAAAGGACATAGATGACGGCCGAAATACGCGTGACCTATATTTTTTTCTTGGAATCGAGCGTACGCGTGGTGGGGGTAGTGAAAGGACAGATGTTTGTCAATGACCAGCGTACGCGTCGCGATCTTGGTATAGGTCAGTGAGAAGGCGTGAGTGAGAGAGAAAGAGGAGGATGAAACGGTAAAAGTATCAGAAATTACGCTCCGGTTCGAAACGAGGATATCTCTGAAACGGAAAGTCTTATCGATATGGAACGAAAAGCGTCTTAAAGAGAAGACGCTTTCTCGTCTCTCGTGAAGTTTGTTTTATGGAGGAAAAGTTGGTACTTTTGAAGTATTCGTCGTGGAAAGATAATCGAGGATACTTTGTGATTTGTGGAATAACATTATTTTTATTTTACGTACGTATTGTATAATTATCTTGAAAATGGAAGAAAACGAGAATTGATTGGTGGAATCTGTTGTAAATCTATTGTACGTGATTTGTCCTTGATAAAATTAATGATGTGTGGCAGTAAGGGGTCACAATTTATATTCGTGAACAATTCCGTATAAGTTATATAAGTTATTAAAAAAATTAAGTAAAAGTTCAGAAAATTTTATAAAGAGATATAGGTGTAAGTGAAGGGATATAAAAACAGCGAATACAGTTTTCGAAAAAGTTATTCTACAAGATTTTTTTAAAAATTAACGAGTTAAAAAATTTTTAATACACGCTAATCTGTGTATATAGACTGATATACATTTTATTTATTTTATTTTATGTTATTATATTAAGTGTATTGTGTGAACACAAGTTATAATTAACGAGTTTCTTTAAAAATATTCTTATTAAAAATTATTTAAAAAAATCAAGTTTGATTTATATATATATATATTTTTTTTATATTTATTTGTTACTTTACATAAAAAGTTTAAATAACCCTCATGATTTTATAAGAAAACAGTAGTAGGAATAAAATGTGTTTAAAAAATTGAATACTTACATATGTCGCATATTTTCATGAATTTTCAACTAGAAAAACCTAGATAAAAATTTTAGGATAAAATGAGATGTTCAGCGGAAAAGTAAATGGATTTTCTCAAACAGAAAGTAAATCCAGCATTCTTATTTGTCCAGAGAATTTTATTTTAAATTTCTATTTTAAATAAAATAACTAGTAATCTGGTATTAATTTAAATATTCGACTTAATTCAACTTTATTCATGCTTAATTGAAACGAGTAATTAATAATTAATCTATCTATGAAAAAAAATAACAAAATAAGAATTATTATCCATAAAACTTTTCCTCCGAGCAATCCCTTCGAGTCAATCAAATCCACCGAAATTTTCTTCAAGAACGAAAACCGATAGATGTATAACCGCATAAAATTCGCACAGATTATTAAAAAATCGACATCAAAACTTTATTTATCACGAACGAACGAACTCTTTCGTTACACGAACGATCGCTCTCGTATGTAACAATTACAATATACATAATCGTCCCTACTAAGTTGCAAACTTACACATCGAATTTATTCGAGCACACGTCTCACGCTCTTACATTTTCATTTATTTCTTTCTCATTGTTCATTGTTGAATCGTCATTTACAACATCATACGTCATGTACAATCGTTTACCTCGATACTTCATTTCTCTTTTCTTTACTTTGACGACTTGACTAGAACGCAGTGGTAATTTGCAAGTTATTAAACATATCGAACCTGGGATACTACGACGATGTTTTCGACAGAGTTCTCTCCTATGAGATTCACTGAAAAATCGCGATTTTCACGCGGCGAACCGGCAGCTACTAAGAGTTCCTTCATCGATGTTTCTTCCTTTCACTGAGAACTGATTTTTCTTTTTTAAACGAGTCCAATGAATGGTATTACATGTCGTTGATAAGTTTCGTATCGTATTGTGGATCATCGATCTTCTTTTTACCCCCATTTCGATGAATTGATGTAATCGAGAAGATTGAAAGAACTTTCTTTCGATGAAATATCACTTTCAATTCATTGAATAAAATTCTGTAATTTTTGTAATCTCGCGAATTTGGTTAAAAGTCGAGTATAGAAAAGTGAATGTAGTTAGTGAAATTGATGATTCAGTTATACCTTTGACGCGAAGTTGAGCAATTTTGAGATTGGAAAGAGCTATCGTCGGTGAATAATGTATATGTAATATAACGTTAATAATTCTTGAAATAATATTAATAATTCTATAAATATTCAAAATATATTTCGTGTGAACTTTCTTTTTTGTATATATATCGTGTATATACAAAAAACGTATTAAATAAACCAACAATAACAATTTATCATCTTAAACTTAATGAATACGAAATAAAAATAAAAATAAAAATAAAAATATCTCACCCATCAGCCTTCCTCTCCCAATTATCGATCGATTATGTTGGTCAGAAGAAAGCTTCTTCATCGATGATCGTTCCGGTCGCATGCTCGGTCGGTAATTTAATTTCGATCAAGGTACAAACAGGGTTAGGAGGGTGGCTACGTCTTATTGTGTCCAACGATCCATCGAGTTTTTCTTATTTTTCTATTTTTTTCTTCTTTTTTATTCACTTAATGCTCGCGTCTAAGATCCATTCATGGTCGCGTTTAATTCGCACGTGCACAACACATCATACAAGCTCGCACACATGCAAATACCACGGTCGAGAGTACATGCGCATAGTACACACGCATACAGACAGGTTGGAGACACACTCACGAGGGACACACGTACGAGAACACACATTATCTCAATTGACCCAAAAAGAAGGCGAGCATTACGAGGACCGTCTTCGATGTTGGCGAGCCTGCTGCCGTGTTCCCGTGCTGCATTGCAGCTGGATGCTCTCCTGGAACAAGAACAACGAGGGTTGGATTAGTGTCTGCCCTGCACTTCCGGTTCCAACCGGAACACTTCGTTTTTTTTTCCATGCCTCGCGCCAAAAGGGGACAAAGGGAGATAGTTTTGCTTGTTTTTTCTCCGTTACCTTGCTTCTTTTCGTTTTCACATGTTTTTTTTCTTTCTATATTTATTCTTGCTCTTTTAAATTTTTTTTTTTACTTTCCTTCTATTTCAGAGCTTTGAAGTTTGAATCATCAGTTATTATTATCATAAAGTGAAATGGATTAATTTGATCAAAGCCATAAATCAATGAAATAGTGTTTCATTTGATTTTTATTACAAGTATTATATTTCGACCTAATTAATTAGTATTTAAGGAGAATTACTTTTTTGTAGTCACTTTATTTATCTATTTAAATTTTCGAATTTTATTGAAAAATAGAATTGTATTTGTATTCTTGATCAAATGAGTATTTTAGTCAAATAAAAACCAAGATAACCACACTCATTAAATAGATCGTACTTTTAGTTATAAGAAACCTAGGAGATATTGCGCAAAAAAGACTTTCTGTGTGCTTTAAATGGTCTCGAGAGTCGTAAACTCATGAAACATAAACAGCTTGCTTCTGGCTTAAATGGACAAAGTTTCGAAGAGCGTGGAGATACTTAAAATGAGAACAAAATTCACGGGGATATAAAGTCACAGTGGCTTAATTTCTGAAATATTGTCTTGTAGTTTTAAACTACAAGGGGTCAATCGCAATTCTACTTGTATTCTCTTCAATTTTTTGTCTTCGAATATTTGAAAAATAAAAAAATAAAAGTAACAAATTAAAGAAATAAATAAGTATAATAAAGCATATTGGACGCTAATATCGCATAAATCAATTACTACTTTCACACGTAAATAATAAATTCTTTTGTCTTCTTTATTACCATTGATATTCTTTTACAACTAATTATATCTTTAGCTTTATATTCTTAAATGATTTCTCGCTTATTATTACACATAAGCTGAGAATGACGTTCGTTGATGAGATAAGCCAGAGAATTACAGCTATTGGCTACAGAACCATGATATGTACCAGATTAGATGTCCATTTCGTATAAGCAATTAGATAATAATTGCAACTAGCAGCAGATTTCACTGTGCTACAGATGAATTAAACAATAACTTAATTGTTCGATCATAGTTTCGATCATTAAAAATATCATTTTACTTTTTCTTTATTTGCTGCAGTTTACCATTTGTTACTTTGCGATTCGTGTTCCATAAATTTTCGTGACAATTTTAAATTCAATAAATTACGCATGAAAAGTTAATTTTAACTTTTATATAAAACATCTATGCAATTGAATTTTACTTTTATATTTACTTTTATTTTAAATATATTTAATATAGAGTAACTTTAATTTTATGTAGTGATTTTTTTTTTTAATATCTTTATCTCCAAATTATTTGATAAAATGTTTAGTTAAAAGTGAAGTGTTCGATATGTACATTTCATCTCTTAATTAACCAATTTAGGTTAATTTCTAATATGTCGTTAGCATTTTAATTAATTAACAACAATCAACCCTTATGCATATTTCAATTATTATTGTGTTATTGCATGGCATGTATAGAATAATTCAAAATTAAATAATAAATAATACGAGATTATTAATTGGAACGTGACATTTGGCATAACAAATTAACAAAAGAAAATGTTCATGTATAATTTTAAATATAAATTGAAAAGTTATATTTATTATAGTTTTATTATGGTTTAAGCTTTTTTTAAAGTTTAATTATTTTTTTCATATCTTTTTTTTATATTAAACTTTTGGAAGATAGGACGATAATATTCCAAGAAGTTATCATAACGAATTTTAAAATGTGTATGGCCCTGATTACCATTTCCATCTTACGTTTTCAGTCCCGCTATATTTCTTCCAAGAAGTGCACTTTCAAGCGGAATTTCGGTTCACACTCGGAATGATACTATTTTTCCTAGAGTTTGGCCGTTTGTGACACGTTCCAGTTTTGAGTTTAAAGATTTCTCTGCCTCATCCTTGGCGATACTTATCTTCCAGACTTTTAAACAATTTATTTTCCTTGTTCTTAATAGCATGGAAATATATCTCCTCAATTTTATTGTTTCTGATACTAAGATTTGTGCATGTACTATAAAAGAAACTTCTTGAAGAATAATAAATAATAAATTTTTAATTTAAATTATGAATGTTTTTTTTTTTAACGAACAAGTATTAACTGTGCGAAATAATGATGTGAAAAAATGCAAAGATTAGTTAAAAAAGCGATATAGCGATTCACAATAAACGAGTTATATCGAGAGAAAAGAAATTTATTACTATTGATAAAATGTATCTTCTAATAAATAATTGAAATTCACTATGAATTTGAAATAACGAAATTGCTCATTAACGATTTAATATACCTTTCTTTTTGTAAATAAAAGTTACAATCGAACAGGTGTCCACAACTTATAAACAGAAATTTACGATTCCATTAAAATTAGAATTATTGCCAAATTACAAATTATTCGCTTCTTCAATCATTAAAAATAAAAAACAAAAGAAAAATCCTTAAAATTCTGGAATATATAATTTCCAGATACTTCCCTAATCTAAAACATTCACAAGAAAAAAAAAAAAAAAAAAATACCCTCCAAACAACAAAATATTCCTCGTCATATACCATATTATCTCACGGAAAAATTCTTCGATTTCACGAGTTGTGGATAAAACGCAGAATGATGTGATATATCGTCGGCATATATCCACGTATGCCGGATGAATTCGGTCCGATTCCCGTTGCTCTAATGGACGCCAAAAACCTCTCTGACCCCTCTCATCACCGATAATAGAATATTTAATCATTCAATGGGAGGCAGGTGAAATCGTGTCGAAGCTACGTGAGCTTCGTACCGAATGCTTTTAATTATCGACGTTAACTAATTATATTTCGAACGGGTCGCGCGCGGCCCGGTAACGATCCACATTCCCGGCACGAGTATTCCGGCTGGAAGCGTCGAATTACTCGTATGATGTCTGCCCGACGCAATTCCATAATTGACCGTCTAATCGATGCTCTAATTCCTGTTCCGTCATGACGGTTTAAAGGGCCCCCTCCCCCGCTGTCGACCTACGCAATTGACGGCCACCAAACCCTGATTAACGTCTTAATTCTTAATTAAGGAGAAAGGGATTCGCATCACCAGGCTTTGACGGGATGATGCACGATGACCAGAAAGGGAAATTCGAATTAGAAAATTTTTGGGCAAAAAAGGAAAGGAAGGAAATTGGCGGAAAGATATAAAATTCTTTTCTTGTGAGGAGAGAATGAGGGGGTTAAAGTGAAATTCCCTCCGTGGCGAGAAAAGTAGTAGCATATAGTTTTAATTATGGTTGGTAGTATTAATGAATTGGAAAGTGGTCAGCGAAATTGAGGTTGGGAGGAAGGAGTGTAATCAACGAAATAAAATATTCTTTGTGACGTGGGATGGAAAGGAATGGTGTCAGATCGATGAAATGGTCTGGAAATAGGAAAACTGGGAGGAAGATGTTTGCATAGTTGGCAAATTAAAGTTTTCTCCGTGGGGAGAGGAGTGGAAGAAAACAGAATAGTGGACTATTAATAATTTTCTCTGCGAAGAAAAAGAGCGAGGAAGAAGTAGTGCGGTTAATGAACTAAAATTCTCTTTGTGGAAGAGAATAATGTAATTAATAAGTTGAAATTCCTATTGTGAACACAAGATTTATTTTATTTTATCACAGGAAAAGAAATAAATGATTAAAATTCTTTTGCATCGTCCTTCCTCAATTTAATTCACTTATATTTGCAAAATAATAATATTAATTATTAAAATTCTATGCTGAAACGTAAAAGAAAATAATCAATACATTAAACTCCTGTAATCGCAATATGATTTAACGAGCAAGTTTAACACAGGAATAAAATATTGATTAAAGATAAATCAATGGATAATTTCCTCCTTTGCATTCCTTTTTCATTCGAGTATCAAAGGATATATTTAATGAAATTTATATTTATTTTTCAGAGATAGGAGATTATTTTTTTGTATCTACAATCGTGCACACTTAAACATCGTCGAAAAAACAAAAATATATCGCGAATTTACATATCTACGTACCTTCAATTTAATATTTGCTGATTACGCGACGTATAGCAATGAAAATATTCTATTTTAATATTATAAAATGATATGTTTAAAAGTTTTCGAAGAAAGTTTTTGAAGTTAGCGAGATATCAGGATACAAAGTTTCATTTGAATTTCAAATATCAAATTTCGAAGCTCTAGTTTTCAAGCTTTGAAATTTCAAAATATCAAAAACTTTCAAACTTTCTCTCAAGATCTTTCGAAGCTTCGAAGAATTAACCGTTAAACTTGTTAATCAACACTATGATTTCTAAAAAATGATTTCAGAAAAACTCTCGAAGAGAAACTTCGATCTCTCTCAAGAATTCAAAATTTCCAATTGATGGATAATCGCTATTGAACTTCTTCCATACCATACCTATCTTCCGCCTAACTTTTATCCATCAAAAATATATATCTAAAAAAAAAAAAAAATAATTGAAAAATATTTCCCAATATGGATGGAAATTCATCCAAGCATAACGACGGTGGGAAAAAGTTTAATCCTCGAACACAGCCGAGTCATACACACGAGCCGTCCTTTTCGAAGAATCAAAAACTCGTGAAAACTCTATTTAGAACGTGTTTAGAGTAGCCCGGACCCGGTAGCGCGATATTTTCGTTGCAAATTACCAGGTAAGGGGATGGAGCTTGTTACGGAACACTGGGAAAGCTCGTCACGAGGCCGGCCACGTCACGTAAATCGTATTGCGCGTGATGTGCAACTGCAAGTAAGGTGTATGACGGGTTGAAATTAGTAGCGAAAGCGAGCCTCGGCTTCGCGCCGAAAATACATGGCAATTTTATTCCGTTTCGCCGTGGAAAACGGGGAGGTAAAAAGGAG